ACAGTGACCTCACATTTGCCGCGCTCTTCAATCTGGCCGTTCAGTACACCAACGCTGACATGTATTCCGAGGCAATCAATACATACCAATCCATCATTAAAAACAGGACTTTCACTAATACAGGTGCTCTCACTCTGATCTAATTTCACAGTAAACTCATTGTTATGTTTGCAAATGACAGGTCGACTGAGGTTAAACATCGGAAACATTTACTTCAAACAAAACAATTACCCGAAAGCCATTAAATTCTTTCGCATGGCTTTGGATCAGATTCCGAATATTCAGAAGGATTTGCGGTAATTATTGCTAATGAAAACCTACAGAATATTCTGTATGTTATCAATATTGTTCAAATGTGTTCACCTATAGCCTGAAGATCATGCATAACATCGGTCTGTCGTTTGTGAGACTGAATCAGTTCGCAGACGCCATCACATCCTTTGAGTACATAATGTCTGAACAGATCGATACCATCACAGCGTTTCATCTGATTGTCTGCAGCTATGCCTTAGGGGACAGACAGCAAATGAAACAGTATTTCTCTCGACTACTCGAAGTGAACGCCGAGGACTCGTTTGAGGACAAGTATGTGACCCACTCTGACATCAACGACGACCTCACGAACCACTTGTTGGTGGAAGTGATCAAAAACGACGACTTAAGGCAGTGGGAGAAACAGAAGCGACACGACTCCGAGTGGTCTATACTGACGGCCGCCAAACTCGTCGCACCGGTAATCGGAGACACATTCAGTCAGGGATACGAGTGGTGTGTCGATCAGATCCGGAACAGCTCTGCATTCGGCCATTTGGCCAATGATTTAGAGATCAATAAAGCGGTGAAACACTTGAGGAAAAGGGAGTTCATTGAAGCGATCGCTACACTCAAGTCGTTTGAGAAGAGGGATAATAAGAGCGCCTCCACTGCCGCCACAAACCTGTCGTTCCTATATTTGCTTCAAAATGACATATCGATGGCCGAGAAGTACGCCGACGAAGCCATCAATGCTAACCGATATAATTCCGGTGCGTTAGTCAATAGGGGGAACACCTACTATAGGCACCAGGACTTCGAGAGGGCTAAAGAGTATTATAAGGAAGCGGTTAATAATGACTCGCAATGTCTGGAAGCCATGTATAACCTGTCGCTGGCCTTCAAGAAGTTGGGCGCCTATGAGGACGCACTCGACTACCTCTTCAAACTCCATGCGCTCACCAAAAGACATCCGCATATACTCTACCAGATCGCCAACATATATGAATTGTTGGGAAACAGGGATCAGGCGCTCGACTTTTACCAACAACTGCTACACTTTGTGCCATCGGATCCGTCACTTCTGGTGAAGTTGAGTGATATGTGCGATGCGGACAACGATAAGCAACAGGCGTTTAGTTATATAACAGATGTAAGCCATCAATGATTTGATAGAAAGACAAACTTTATTGAATCGTGTGTTTCATAGGGCTATCGATACTTCCCGTCTCACATACCAACCATTGAGCGATTGGCCGCACATTATATCGAGACTAAGATCTACGAGAAAGCCATCAAATACTTGGAAAGGGCGGCACTCGTCCAGTGAGTCCTAACTTCCCATTAATTGAATGTTTGTTTAGTTACTAACTGTTGTTGTCCTCAAAGACCAAAACACATCAAATGGTTGCTAATGATAGGCGCGTGTCATCGTCGGAGTGGTAACTATCAGAACGCCTACAACTGCTATAAGAATATTCACCACCAGTTCCCCGAAAACATCGAATGCCTGAAGTTCTTGATTAGAGTATCGACTGATTTGAGACTAAAAGAGTCGTACGAATACTCGGATAAACTCAAGAGATTAGAGAAGTCTAAGGAAATGAAGGACCAGAGAGTGGCCAGTGGTCTGAACGGTGCCAATGGTGTGATGTCTCGAAGTGCGAGCAGAGCTTCTATGAGGCGATCGGCCGCCAGTTCTAGGGAGGGGTCGGCCAGCAGTAGTAGCAGTGGTTACCTGACGTCTGCCAGTCCGAGGAGTACGGCATCGAAAGGCAACTCTTCGTCCAAACGGGAGGCGACGGACGCCAACAAAAATCTGGTCGATATGTCTGTCTATGAGTCCCTGGAAGTGAGTAACGAAAGGCCGACCACTTCTTGGAAGAGAAATGCCATTAAGGATGAGGACGACTTCGGCACCGATGATATTGTCGACATTTTGCCCGATTAGACACACTCTGAGACACAATCACACCGTCAGATGAGGTGATAGTATCTCAGATGAGGTGATAGTATCGCAAGTTTTGCACAAAAATTGTTACTAAAAGTTACGAAAAGATTTCTATCGTTAAGGATATGTGTTATGAAATTGTTTAACAATTTTTATATAAAATACTTAATTCATTGTGTTATAGTGATAGTATCGCAAGTTTTGCACAAAAATTGTTACTAAAAGTTACGAAAAGATTTCTATCGTTAAGGATATGTGTTATGAAATTGTTTAACAATTTTTATATAAAATACTTAATTCATTGTGTTATAAAATATTACCCCGTTATAAACAAGGTCTACAATATATTGAATGCATTCTGTGCTAACCATGAAATTAAAACTCACTTTAAATTAAATTAAATTAAATTAATTATTTAAAAGTGAGTTTTAATTTTAGTGTTAAAACAAGTGTTATCTCTTTGACAGCTTATAAATTATTGAAAAAATTATATTTATTTATGAATTTACTAAAAATACTAAAAATAAATACTTTGTTATGAAATGTTGTGTTATATCTACTTTGTATGGAATACTATTGCATTAATTCAGTAGTTTCGGAAAATTGTATGGATGTTGTCTCTCATTGAAGTTATCTCGTCCTTAAATTTCATACCTGTCCTCCGAGTCAGTCATCATTTATAAGATAATAAGTTAT